TCGCACGCCGGGAAGTCGGCTCTTGCAGGTGTCGATGTTTCCCACGCCTCTTTGGTGGGTCGATCCAACGCTCGGCGCTGCTCATCCACAAACAAGGCATCCAGCACCTCTTGAGCAGAGCCAAGGCCAGAAATAAGCCTGCGGAGCTTTCGACTCTCCGTTGCCAAATCCATCAGCGACCCAACGCTGCCAACACGCATCGGTGGAATGCGTCTCTTGGCCTGCAGCAGCTGTGCGAGCACAAACAGCTTATTTTCATATCTCTCGAGCAGAGCATCCCAAGCGATCTTAAAGGATTCAGCAGTGAGAGGGAGTCCCTCGATGAGCTTTGCTGGCTGGCCCGAGAGCGACGCTCGCAGGTAGTAAAGGCGCTCCAAATCGGTGAGCCTCTCGTATTTCATAATACTTGAGAAAAGATCTCGGAAACTCACCCATTCTGTGAAGTTGCCAGAGAATTGCGGAAGCTTAATCTCCGGGAGCTTGCCTCGTTGAGTGTGACTGACAGTAGTTGATGCTGCTGATGAGTTTGCCTGTAGATCCGGATGGGCAGCGAGCAGCTGGGTTATGAATCTGATTGACCTTGAGTATGCCTACTGCGCGGCTCCCGACGCACTCTTACTGAAATACTAATTTCTGAGCAACACCGCCGGGCACGCATTTTGAATGAGAGCATGCTCACGTTTGAACTCCTTGTGGAGCGCGACGCAGTCCTTTCTGAGCTGCATGGCCTCAGCGTGACTGCACTCCGCAGTCGCCTCCTCAGCAGCTTTGCCACACTGGCTCAGGCTAATTGTGCGCGCTCTCTGTGACTCGATTTTCGGGAACCCGGCCGGAATCACATTTCCCGTCTAGTGCATGCCGCGCCCCGGCAAGCCATCAGTCACAGAAACCCACTGGCCATTTTTTTTTTTCCGAAAAATAACAAACGTACTTATAACTGGCGTGGTTTTCATAATTATCAAAAATGGATAATAATGTCATAAATAGTATATAATATGAAAATTGTTTGTTTAGATGCTTTGCTTTTTTGTACATATATACACACAATTTTTTCGTATTTTTTTTTTCTTTTTTTGTATATGTATACATAGTTAAAATAATTGTTAAGAGTTGCTTTTTAATGTAGTTAACAATAACTGTTGTGCCTTACTGTTAATGAAGTAAGCCTGATAAGGTTAGCGTTAAAACCAATGCAATATAGCTCAAACCAATGTCTAATATTTTTGAGTTCTTATTCTCGTTCTTTAATGATATGTTTATTGATCGGGTGCTTATAAACTGATCCTTAAGTTTTTATGGCACCATCTTAAAGCAAAACCACATATTAAATAACCTAAATAAATACATGAGTCACATTATGGAGGTCAAGTGATTTATATTTATATATATATATATATATACTCTACAGGTTATACTGAGCATCTTACCTTTTAACGATTACTTCTTCTAAGGGTCGACAGTTACTACAACCACACTAGTACATTAGATATGCCTTACAAATTACATGAAACTGTGATGCCATGTTTGAAAAAAAATAACTCTGACATTATCGGGTCATTGCTGCAAAACTCAGGTTAACCTGAGAGACTACGTTTTTACTAAAAATACTAAGACTTGCATTAGCACCTGCAAGCTTCCTCTTTGATGCATAGCCATTAAATCTGAGGAATGGCATTACTTATATTAGGGCATTAAAAATCTGCACATATTAATGATACCTCGATTTACACCAGTTGAAGGCCCACTGGCTTCTACTGCTGAGCTTGTCTGCAATAACATGACGTATATGTAGTTTTCTGAATATATGTTGTGAGTACAGCTTAATGCTTGTTCATGCCAGAGCATTTCAGTATCTTAAGAGAAATAAAAGTCTTTCCTTACGCTTCTACCGTAGTAGCAGAATAGCAGTACTAAAAGGCACAAGATTAAGACTTAGATCCGTGTGCGATGTTTAAAAATTTAATCTACGTAAAACAATTAAAATTAATTAATAGGAACTATTTTAGTAGTTTGGTACGATGGTAGAAAATTTGTAAGTCACGCTAATAATTTAGTGGAGCAATACTTAAAATATGAGCTTGTCTAATGAAAGCAACAAAAAGTCACGGTACACTCACAGAAAAATAATTAATAAAAAATTATTCTTAATATTTCTAAATGCAAATGTATTTTTTATGCTTGAACAGTTAACTATAACTAATTTTTTAATTTTTAACTGTACTCAGATAGTATATTAATAATAAACATGCCACAGCTACGTTAAATCTACACCACGTTAGATGCCACAACGTAATGCACCAAAAAGCTGAGGAACCCATTTTTAGTATAATTATATCAATCAGAATTATTAACACAATATAACTTGTTATTCAAGGTCTTACGTCAGCAAGACAAATAGTTCAAGTCTAAGCTTACGCTTAATACTTACACTAAGTGCGTAAGTAAGACGTGGAGGTAGAGGCTAGTTAGATTACGTGATAGGGTATTCGAAAAGGGGGTACGAATATTTTCGAATACAGGCAATCAAGTTACAATGACTCGAAGTGGTTGTTGTACTGTCTCCCAATGTACTCATTCGAGGCACACCTAAGAGTTGTCAATATTACCCAGAGCGGCGTATTTAAGATGTACCGTTTACGATCTAGAAGCTACCAGTATCATCACGAGTGAATGTATAATTCTAGAGCTTACGTAAAGCGAAAAATTGTGATTTAATTCATGACCTGCCTAGAAACCACTAATACCATCACAAGTCATGACGTTTGTTTCTGATTTACCGTGTGGAGCAATTAATGATGTACTACCGAGGGTTTAGAGGATACCAGTACTGTCACGAAAAATGGCGTGCATGTTTGACTCTGTGCCTTTGTTGGAAAAAAAAAGAAAAAAAATTTTAAAATTCAATTAACACTTGACACGTACTTTTATTAAAAGAGATAATACTTATCCATGCGGCGAATTAGTGCGAAATGTCCGAAATCGAAATTAAGACCGCGCTTGTGTGGGATCAAATAGCAGAGGTGGATTTTAGCTCCCCAGTCGACCATTTAAGGGTAGAAACAAACTATGTCCACATCTCGTGGTAGACTGGAAGGTAGTAGAGGTAGACTCTAACTATTAAGTCCAGCGTTCGAGGGGTAAAATTAAATGAGAGATAGTTTTCGGGTCCTCCGAGCCTTTTTGTAGGGAGTAGTGGACCATGGTCGTGCGCTGGCACAAAAATAACGCAGGAAAACTTGCAAGAGGAGACTCATGAAAAAGAGACAATAGCCGAATATCTAATTTGCTAGAACTGCTATAGTTGAGCCACTCAGAAATTGGCACTTCCCACATCTCGCTTGCTCTTCTATATGGGTAAAGAGAAGGGAGAGTGATTAACTTACTCCTACCCTTTCTTTTTCTTATACATCCAAATGTTACAAAATTTTATTATAACGTTGTATTGACATTGAGATAAGATATAAATAATACTTACTTACCCTAAACACAGTTTATCTTTTTTAATTGAACTTGTTACAAAAAAACAGTAGAAATTGCTTGAAATTTTAATTTAATGCTTAGGTAAATAAACGGTCGATGTGTTACCGTATATTAATGATATTAGTAATAATGATTTTGACAATAATAATGATAGTACTAATTGTTCTAATAGTGAAGATATAATAATAAAGATAATAGTACTTTACCTGTCACGAGTGGGTATTATTACGTTTACGGGTAGTTTTGACTAATTAGAATGTTGCGAAAATAATTTAGAATTTTTGGTCGTATTAAAGTCAACATATTTTGCGCTGCTAGTTGTTGTAAAGGAAGTCGGCTCATGGTGCCCTGGGAAATTGGAGATTCCATTATTCATGTTGGAGACAGAAGTACAGTTTCTCTCTTAACATATCTGAGTAAGGAAAAGGGATAAGCACTTTGACTTTTCTTTTTTTCTTTACATTTAAAAAATAAAAAATTTTACCACAATATAAATAAGGCTGATTCAGTATGTTACGGACAGTAAGAGTGTAATAAAAAAAGTACTACTCGGTAAGTCATACTTGTGCGACAATAAACAATAATAATTGGATAATTTCTTGTTAGTGAATAATGCTTCTCTGTCACGTTTAAGGCAGTTAATACTTCTATATGTCACACATAGTTGTTGTTTACTGTAGATATAGTACGTATGGATTTTTATCTTAACGATACGTAGCAGTTCTAACCTATTCTTACATTTAGTGTTATATCATTTAATTCTAGTCTATAAGTATTATTCCTTAGTTGTTCTAGTATTTAATGTTATTACTTAGTGCAGCTGTTCCCAGTTGAGCTTTCGCATCAACTGGTTCTGACACTTCTTTTGTTTCGATGCATTTAAAAGTGTTTCGTTTGTTTTGCATTTCTTGTCAGCGTAGGCCAGCGTGCATGTGGCAAAATCGCAGTTGGTCATTGCGCTGCAGCTATAAGTTAACTAGCAGGTGACTTACCCTTTTTCAGATACACTTTGATCCTTGATAAAAATGTTTTTCAATTAACATAGGATGTTCCGAAGGTGTGTAAGAAAAAAAAAATTAATAGTATTTGCACTAACGATAATGATTTATATTTGCATGAATATATATATAGATAAACCTATTTGTTATTATACTACAACGATTAAGTCTTAGTATAATCGTGACAACAAGTCCTTTTGCTGACACATTACGATAATCATGGTTGAATTATCAAAATTATATACAAGAGTATAAAGAAAAATTACGTAAGGCACTCAAACCAGCTTATTTTAGTATATGTTACTATTTTTTTAAAACATTATGTAGAATACAGTAGAACTTATGTATGTTACTAATTCAAGATAATTGAAAAAAAAAATTTTCTTCATGATAGTATTCTTCAAAATATCATTAAAGTTATTTATCAACTAATTGTTTCATGTTTATATTAATACAAAATTTTTTGTTTCTTTAATACGAGATCGATTGGATTAAAAAATTTCTTAATTGTGCATTTTTCAGATTTTAGTGAAAGTACAATCTGATGAGCAAATTAAAGATGTACCTGTAATTAAGCCTCGATTTCATGGCTTGCAATCAAAAACGTACCTGGTAATTGAAGGTTTAACAAAATTTGGTTTAGAATTCGTTGACTGGCTAGTGACACGTGGAGCTAGGCATTTTATCATAACTTCGTCTGAAGAAAATAATAGTGGATATCAACATCTTCGCATGAAAGTTTGGAAGAGTTATGGAGTAGAGATTACTTTGCATGAAAAATTTATTCCAACAAAAGAGAGTATATGTTTGGTATTTAAAGAAGCCTGTAGTATAGGGTCCATAGACGCTATTTTTGATTTACAGCGCTGTATACAATTGAACAAAGCTGAAATAAGTCCTTTTACAGATCTAAGCACAAAATATCTTGATGAGATGTCTCGATCATTTTGTCATAGTCTGAGACTGTTTGTGATCTGTTCTATAACAGAAAATAAAGGAAATTTAGCTCTTATAAAAAATTGGGTACCTCTTGACATTGGAGGTTTAGAAAATAAGTTTATAGAAAAATTATTAGAGCAGAGGAAGAGAGATAGCTTACCTGGATTATTCATTTGTTGGGGTCTTGTTGATTCTACAAAAAAGTACATAAAAAATCCTAGTTCGACTCCTATTCTTCCACCAGTAACAAAATATTTGCAGAATATTGATGATTTTTTATATGCTATGGAGTCACAAGTTCAAGTTTTATGTACAGTTCCCCACACAAAGGAGGTAAATCTTTTACAATTTCTTAAACTTCTCTAAATTTATATTTTTAGGTATATAAACTGTAACCGAGGCACTAAAAGATGCAAGACGTTGAAAATAACTTTTACGTACTTTTTTTTTAACTTTTCAAGCTGAAATTAACAAGAAGAATCCCTACTGTAGCTCAGTACCTCATGTAAATGCGTTGACAGAGACCATTACAGATTGCTATGCTATGTGTAATCAATCCATATTCATACATTCATATTTTACCTAAACTATAACCACATAGCTCAAAAGTATGTTAACTCCATCTTACACTATATTTTAAAATGTAACTACTTTTTGTACGAACGGATGGTTTTTGACATTTTCGTGGAAATATTATTCGTTTGAATATTTTTCACTGTCAAATACTTTATTAAGCTCATCTTGTTTTATTCAATCGTTATTAAAAAAAATTGGGCAGCTTATATCGTAGAGAATGAAAGAGTTTACGATATTTTATCAGGAGCATACAAAAAGACAAGTGGTTCAATCAACATCTAAGTTTTAACTATTTATTTCAACTCATTTTAGTATAATTCATTATTTGTTATAAAAAGACTTTTTAATTTTAAATGTATACTGATTTTTTCATGAATGGTGCATTATTCCTACATGTATAACCTAATTTTTAGTAATTTGGCTTTTTTTTTACTATTGTTCTGCCAAAAAATTAAATTTAAGTAAATATTTGAGATTTAACTTTTTCTTACGATAATACTTATAAATTGGCAGTTATATTCTCATTTCATGTAAAAATCTATAATCTGTACACCTGATAAAATCAAAACAGTATGAAAGTACTAATTTTTTCGTCCACTGTTATAAATCAAGTCAGAGAATGGTTGAAACCTTTCGGAAATATAGCAAACAAAGTTTCAATACATGAATACACAATTTGTCTTACGCCCTAAATAAAAGATTATACATTTTTTGAGTATTCAAGATTATTGAGAGGCCTTAATCCATACTTATAAATTATTTCGTACTTGTTAAAAACATTAATGTCAATATTTGAAACATATATCTGTAAGCGGAATCTTTTTTTCTGTGAAGTTTTAGTGTAAGCCCTGTAATTTTAGCCCCAAACTAATAAATCAGCCAGTTGGCCAATCATAGGACTGTCAGTTAAATCTATGCATGTTTGCACAATAACAATATAACATTTTAAAAAAAGCAAATGTCAGACCAGTGCAGATATATATATATATATATATATATATATATATACATCAGAAGGGAAGTGATAAATCATACGTGTGCATACAGTTGTACGTTAACATTTGTAATAACTGTAAATACATGCGTACATACATAACATATATTGATCTTCTTATTTGATAAAGTTGCCTTTAGGTCTATGCCTACTAGCCATCCTGCCCTGCCTCTTATTATCCCATACGGTTCTACCACCCCATCATACAAAATAACGTTATATTTTGCTTGCTTGTACATGACTAAGAAAGAAAATGACCATGAAATTAAAGCCACCCCACCACGCTTTACGTTGCCTGCACTTCCCCATGCTACCCCTCAACTATCTCGCAGAAGTGTATGCCAATAAAGAGATACGGATGCACTGTAGTAGGCAAAAGTGTAAGAAATGCCTATGATCCTTACGTCTAATGAATCTAGTAAACCTATTGGGAATACCAGACGTCTGATAGGCTTATTAGACCTGTTCCCACATGGTTTTATGAGTCTGTTGAATAGCCCCGAGTAATACTTTTGATCTTGTATTTTTGTGAAGGTATAATTAGGTGTTAAATGGGCTGTTAGTAGGATTAAGTGCTTTAAAATTTACCTTTTAGGTTAAAAAAAGACTATTCTATAAAACATAGCCTTTATTAAGAAGCTTGAAACGACATGCTACTTTTATAAATAAGAAAACTTTTCTGGTGGCTTAGTATGTCTAAGCATTAAGAGAATCTCACAGTTTGGTATTCATTTAAAAATTGTCGTACGAAAAATTCTAATGTAGACAAGAAAAAGAAATTTAACAATTTCAAATGACATTTTAAAATTAGATGACAGATCTTCTCAAGATTTAAATTAACCAGAACTAACAAGTGACAGTTTTGAAATAAATTCTGAAGTTAATAAAAAAGCTTTCAAATTTTATAAAAAAAAATTGAACTTGATATTTCTGGCATTAAATAGGGATAAAAATAAAATTATTCAAAAGATCAATGACAGAGAAAAAAATAACATACTTCATTGATGGACCAGAAGGTTCTGGACAAAAATATTTATACAAGACTCAACTTGCATGTGTTATATTAACAAAAAAAAGCTTTATCCATGGCTTAGACAGCTATGGCTTTAATATTATTACCAAAAAAAGTAATGAGTCATAGAACGCTTACATTTTTTTCGATTTGAGTAGTATTAAACTTTTTTTTTGACAAACAGTCTAATAAAACAAGATTACGTCAAGTAGGTATAATTATTAAAGGTAAAGCATCAATTTTTTCCAAAAAAGCAATGAAAACAGTAGACAAAATCTTAAAAGATTAACGTGATAATAAGTTATTATCTAATGTAACACATAATTATTTCAGTTGGTAATTCAAGATACATTTTTCTGGATACCAAAGAGAGTTGAAAAACAGAAATAATTTAAGAAACGATTAAATGTTAACATTCTTTAATTTATTACATAGTATTAAGGTTGAAAACAAACGTATGGACTAAAAGTTATAATTTTTAAAAATGACTTTTTCATATTCGAGAAGAGAAATTAAAAGCATTTGAAATACCAGAGACTTTGCTAATAAATAATGTTTATTAGTNCTGTTGATAATCACTGGTAGTTCGATGAGATTAACTATTTGAGCTGGTCTGCAAATTATGCAATGAGCAACTTAAACAAAGCACTAAGTGCACTGCACTGCACAACTGAGTTTTGTCCACTGTATAGCGAGAGTTAATCAGGAGATTTACACTAGCATTTAAGGTAATGTATGCACCTTTGAGTGCTAGAGTTTGGCAACGTAACTTCAGAGTGTCTTTCTTCAACGAGAGCTGAGTATAATCTGGCGCTTACAGTATACGAAGCTTGCTCCGTGAATACGCACACACACACTTGCAGCGCGCCAAGTCGACCAAGCGCACACGCACAGAGCATTGAGCCGCCAGAGACAACAAATGTACACAATGTACACAAAAGCCGGGCCTACTGTCGGTCGCTCTCATTTCCAACATTCTGCCCGCCGTCAGTCAACGGCTGACAACAGCCGTAGACCGGCAGTGGCACCAACTTGTGAATTGGTCTCTTGAGCGCGCGTACTGAGGTCTTGAGAGTCACCACTCTAACCAGGCCATCCTTGCCTGGGTGGACGTCGACGACTCTGGCCAGCGGCCACTTTCCTGGTGGTGGAGGCTCACTAGTTATAAGCACCAATGAGCCTGTCTTGATGTCATGAGCTGGATTGTGCCACTTGGAGATTGAGTTTAATCTAAGCAAGTACTGTGTAGACCACTGCTTCCAAAACCTTTGTTTTTGAGCTTGGATTAGCTGCCAGCGAGTGAGCCTTGCTAGAGGTAAATCCAACAGGCACGGTTCTGGTGGTGAGTTTAGTGCCGATCCTACTAAGAAGTGTCCTGGAGTGAGCGTGTCTAAATCCTCTGGACCATTAGTAAGTGGTTCTAGTGGTCTAGAGTTAAGTATTGCTTCGATTTGAGTGAGCAACGTCGTGATCTCTTCAAGCGTGTAAAGAGTCTCTCCCATAGTCCGATGGAGATGGTGTTTCGTTGACTTCACTACTGCCTCCCATTTTCCTCCCATGTAAGGAGCAGCTGGAGGGTTGAAGTGCCATGACGTTCCATCTTGGGCGATCATAGCTGATAGATGAGAATTTTGACTGATTGCTTCTGAGTATAACTGTTGAAGAGCCCTGTCTGCACCAACGAAGTTCGTCCCACAATCAGAATACAACTTAAGTGGACGTCCCCGATGTGAGACAAATCGTCAATACGCTGACAAGAATCCTTCGGTAGAGTAATCTGTCACTGCTTCGAGATGCACAGCAAAGGTCGAAAAACACACGAACACACATATCCAACCCATGTATGTCTTCGACCTTCTGCCGCGCCAAGATTTAAGATGTATTGGACCTGCGTAGTCGATACCTGTGTGAGCAAACGATCTGGAGGGAGTCACCCTGGCCTCGGGTAACTGTCCCATGAGTTGTTGTGCTCTTTGTACCCAGTACCTGGCACATTTGACACAGTAGAGGATTCTGGATCGGATGGGGGCCCTTCCACCGATTATCCAAAACTCTTGACGAGTTTTGCTAAGAGTGAGCTGAGTTCCTCCGTGTAGAGTTTGTTGATGAGCCTGATCAATAACCAAACTGGTTAATTGAGCTTGACGAGGAAGTAGGGCAGGATGTTTTGCATCAGGTCTGAGCTTGGCATTCATGAGTCTGCCTCCCACACGCAGTATGCCAGCATTATCAGTATATGCCATTAACCGATGGAAAACATGGCCCTTTGTGAAAGAACCTGATTTGAGCATCCTGATTCCCTCCTTGAAACATTCCTGTTGAGTAAATCTGATGAGTAAGAGCTTAGCTTGAGTGATGAGTTCTGCAGTGACAGCTACGGATGATTCCTGGTGTGTGAGTAAGGCTTTGAACTTGGCACAAGCAAGTAAGAGGGTGGCTGAGATACGATAGAGTTTGTGCAATGTGGAGCTGAACTGAGTGAGCCTGAATAGGAACTCCGAGTCTGAGACTGATGACACCAATGCTGACACCTGACGCGCCTCTGTCTCATCCTCCACCTCGACGTCACTCGGCTGCAGAGGCCAACCATCCAGGGGTTGTATCATTCATTCTGGTCCATGCCACCAGAGCCTATGATCAATCAATTGTGAAGTGAGAATCCCTCAAGAGGCACAGTCAGCAGGATTCTCCTTTCCAGGGACATGTTTCCAATGTGCTGCAGGGACCCGATCCTGAATTGCTGCAACTCGA